CCTAGACCAGGGGAGCTAGAGGCCTGGACTTAAGAGTTAATAAGGAGCAGAGATCTGTCTCTACATGCCTGGAAGATGGTTTGTTTTATTTTTCTGCATCCATCGTCCTCTTTTTCACTTTTTAAAGGTTTATCTCTTTTGCCATTTTCATCGTGCGTAGTCATCAGACATTCACTTTCCTTCAGACAAGCAGAATTTACTTTTCAGTTCATCTGTTGTTAATGCTTCTTCAGTTATTTTTGCTGGGATTTCAAATAAACATGGACACACACCTCAGGTGTATCTTTCAGTGTGTGTTTTAGTTGGATCGAATAGGAAGTGTGTGTGGCACCATCTCATTGGCTGAGGGTCCTGGACTGAATGAAGAGGTGACAAGCTGGGTACCAGCATCCATCTCTCTGCTTCCCCATCGTGGACACAGAGTGACCAGCCCCTCCCCCCCCATCATACGTGGTGTCATGGGGTCCCCACCAGGATGGACTACAGCCCTGAGTCATGAGCCAAAATAAACCCTGCCTTCCTGAAGTTGTTTTGTCTGTTATCTTGCCACAGCAGTAAGAAAAGTCACTAACACACCAACACCAATTGGTTGGAGACAGCTCCCTGAAACAGCCCAGAGAAGTCCCTGAAATTGAGGCTTTCAAATCACCCTTGGTTTTCAAACAGAGTGAGTCCCGGGCCAGCCAGAGCTACCCAGTGAAACCTTGTCTCCAACAAAACAAGACAAAATAAAACAAAACAATAACAAAAAGAAAATCCCATTTACAAATCCTCTCATTTTTCACTGAAATGGGAAAACAAAAGCAACGAGGAAAACATTAAATTACTAAAAGGCTGAGGTCATGGCGATGTGGATTTTTGCTCAGTAACAGAAGCAGGTTATTAATTCAAATGAACAGCTGAAATCCTAAACACGACAGCACACAATCAACCTGTGCAGCACAGGGACAGACCTGGCCAGACCACAGCTATGGAAAATCCCTCGGTGAGATTCCTAATGCCACTACTCAATCTAGTTCGTTTACTTAGAGCTTCCGGAAAAGTCTTGTGAACCCTCCTTTAGACAAGCATCATGCCAACTTGACAGAACTTTCCAAGGTTCACTAGCAAGTGACCCGGAAAAAAAATTCCTATTAAGACCTTAAAAGTCTCCAAGTGCCGGAAAAGCTTAAAATAGTTAACTCATCAACTACCCTGGAATGAACCGCAGAGAGCTTGTCCAGCACATTTTTTGTTGGTACCGGAAAAAGAAAACCAGAAAACATCCCCAAAAGACGGTATGTCCGCCGTGGAGGTCACTATAAAATTCCTGAGGAGACAAACGACTCAGCCCTGGTCCAGCCCTAAGGGTGTCTGACCACTGGCTGTACTCTCTCCTGGTTTCCTCAGATTTCCTTCTTTTGGGGCCAGTTTAAATGAGTTGCTTTATTTTATAGACAATTGTCAGCCTCAGACTTCACAACAAGCATGTCACAGAGCTGCTTGGTGTATTCTCTTGTGGTTTTTAAAAACACGTTATAATTCTGAGGGATTTTATTCTTAGCATTGCTTTTAAATGCTTTCATTCTCTCTTTCAAAAAAAAACAGACAACAGATTTTTTATGAGAGTTAGAGAATTTACAGCTGAGAATAACAAATGTTTAATAAAACTTTATTTAAAAATGAGTGGTTCTCTATATAACTGTCCTGGTTTGCTTTTCTGCTGCTATGATAAAGGCCAGAAGCGACTCAGGGAAGGAAGGGGTTTATTGCAGGTGTGTGTTACAGTCCATCATCAAGGGGCACCATCGCAGGAACCCAGGAAGAAGCTGGGATAAGAAACCACGATGAACACTGGTACGTGACCCATCCCCAGGTTCATGCTCAGCCACCTTTCTTACACAGCCCAGGCCTACCTGCCCAGGGAAGGCACTGCCTGCACAGGGCTGGCCCACGTATGTCACTGAGCAGCCCAGAAAATGCCCTACAGATATGGCCACAGGCCAGCCTGATGGAGGCAACTCCTCAACCGAGATTTCCCCTCCTCAGGTATGTCTAGGTGTGTGTTGGATTGATAAAAACCAACACATCACATACAGACACAATACCACCACCACCACCACCCACCACACCCAAGCTTCAGAGAACACCATGGAAAAGGGTGAGGAAAAATTATGAGTCAGAGGACGGGCAGGGTTGCTTTAAAACAATGTCTTCCAAACTCTGAGACAAGGCCTGCTGTGCACTTGTGAATTCTTGGCAGGTGTGGTCATCAGCACAAGATCAAGGCGGTCGGTGACACCCATTGTAAAGCCCAAGGCCTTAAACACTATCATTCCATTACTTAAGTTTCAAGGCTCCCGTGTTTGTGCTCATGTGTGTGTACATGCATGTGAGTGCGTGTGTGTGTGTACATGCATGTGCGTGCGTGCGTGTGTGTATGTGTGTGTGTGTATGTGTATGTGTGTGTGTGTACATGCATGTGCGTGCGTGCGTGTGTGTATGTGTGTGTGTGTGTATGTGTATGTGTGTGTGTGTGTGTGTGTGTGTGTGTGGAGGACAGAGATCGGCATCGGGTGTCTGCCTCAGTCTCTCTCCACTTTGCTTTTGAAGCAGGGTCTCTCACTGAAAATGGAGCTCTCCAATCAGCAGACTGGCTGAGGAGACCCCTGGGCTCCTCCTGTCTTCACATCACCAGCTCTGGCATTACAAATGTAAGCCACTGCATCAAGATTTTATATGTGTGTGTGCTGGGGCAGGAGGAGGGGAATAGATCAGGCTCAGGTCCTCATGCTTACACAGCAGAAACTTCACAAACGGAGCCATTGCCCCGGCTCTCCATGGGATTTATTTTTAATAAATTATCCAGGCCAGCACTCACCTTCACCACGTACTTTCTGCGGGTCGAAGTGTCTTGACCACAGCACTGCTGGAGTTTAGGGCCACGGAATTCTTTGCTGAGGGAAGCTGCCCCATGCATGATAGAATATTCTATAGCCACTCAGCCTCAGCCACACTAGAAGCCAAGGGGCACCCTCTCCCAGTTATGACAACGAAAGATGTCACATGTCTCCTGGGAGGTGATAGCACCCTGGCCGGGAGGTATGATCTACAGCTCTGTGACTAACATTTGCCTTTAAATGCCTTTGGAGGATACTACGAAATTCCAAGTATCAGATACCAACTCCATTCATGGAAATGAGTGCCAAAATGAATATGTATTCTTCCCACACATTTATTGTCTCCCCTGTATGACTTTAAAAATGTCCACGGTAGAAGCTGAAAACCCAAAGATATGTAGGAATGAGTTACCAAATTGGTGGCAATTAAAAATGTCTGTGTGGCTTGTCAAACAGAGTAATTAATGAATTGACTTTCTGGCTGAATTCTTTGGGCCAACCAAATTGTGAGCCAATTGGTAAACAGGTAATTAAGTTTATCCTGACCCTACGTATGGTTTCCCTTTACCCCATCCAGAAAAAAATCTTACCAGTGCATTAGGCAAAGCTTGGGGAATGCACAGACTTTCCTGCCAAAGCTCAAATTCCTCTGGAGATCTATTCATTAATAAGTATTGTCTTCCTATCACAGCCATTTCTGTGGAGGACACAGCAGCACCCAGTCAATGCAGAGAAATGATTTATAAACCAGATGTCCTTAGTGACTCAGCTCAGACAGTGGCTTTTAGAGACATATTTAAATAAGTTAAATAAGTTAGAACCTTTCATTTCTTGTTACATAACTAAGATCATCTGCTTGATGGGATATAAATGCTACTGTAGGGGGGAATAAAAAGATTTTCCCTGACCTTGCTTCCTGTGACTGCCATGCCATACGTGGCCCAATGGATACCCCTTCAATTTCCAGCAAGTTCTGACAGCTTGTGGAAAGTTGAGGTGCCGAGGTGAATATTCAGTCTTCAGGTAGGTTTCTTAGCCACTTATCATAACTGAACCTCCAGGCTACTGTGCATACAGTAGGTGCTAAAGATTCTGAGCTAATGGGTGATGTTTAAATATTCACTACCTTCAGCTGTGTGTGGCTCCTAAAATCCTGACATTCAGAAGTCTGAGATGCAGGGATCACGTGTTCAAAGCCAGCTTGGGCTGTATCCCAAATTCCAGGCCACTGAGAGGGACCCTGCGTCAAACAGACAAGTGAGCAGAGGGTAGCCATCACTCTGACTTCCTAGAAGAGTCGTGCAAAGGACTGCAACCTCATTTCTTACTATCTTCCCACGGGTTTGCCGGTCATTGGTACTGGGACTGGATTCGGATGCCCCTGCGCGAGGAAGGACGAATGGGAGCCTGCTGAATTTTACCAGGCAGAAGGAGAAGGTGTGTCAGGCTTGCCTCTGGCAGAAGAAACATCACGAGGCCTCAAGAACCTGCGAGTTCACTCTCCCCTCAAGTCAACACGTGTTGGGGGCACAGAGGTCCTTGTCCTGGCAGAGAGACACTGAGAACACTAGGAATGTTAATCACAAGGGGATGTCTCCTCCTTGGGGGAGACACAAACCAAATACCCACATTCCAGCCAGGAGCCGAGAGTGGACATCGTTAACCACTTGGTGACCTTTCTGCCATCTGAAGGGACAGACTTCACCCTAATACCTCGTAATTCTCCCAGAGTCTTCCCTCCCTAGGCCATTACCCATCCTTGGGGAAGATGTCCCAGGTACTTTATGACCTGCTGACATCTATATGGTCATATGTACCTTGCATGAATTTCTATGTAGTCACACCTTATTGTGTGACTTTGTTGCGCACCTAAAATTGGACTGATTGTTGCCTGGAAACCTTTCCCCAAATTGTACTCTTTTAAATACACTGACAGCGAATCACCTGGCTTTGATAGACTCCCCGAAGCTGATCCAGCTTGACAAAGTCAGTCCGCACTGGGCTTTCATTCTCATCTCTTCGCATGGTTCACATTCCTGTCCCACACCATCAGGGGGCCCCCTGAAACAAGGCGTGCTTTAGTTCCCCAAAGCACCGAGCATGAGGACATGAGAACACCACGCATGCGCAGAGGCCGGAAACGGGTCGAAATGGCGCCGAAGGCCTCAGCCACTCTCTACCTCGTGGCCTTGAGAAAGCGGGACTCTCTGGAGCTCACTGTTTGTAAGACTGTCTGGCTGGTGAGCTCTTAGGAGCCGCCTGTCTGTCTGTACCTTACAATGCCCGGCACAAGTCACCGTGCCCAGCTTTTTACATGGATGTTGGGGCTTCAAACTCAGGCACACTTACCCACTGAAGCCATCTCCCTAGTCCCTGTTCTCTCTGTGTGTCTCTGTCTCTGTCTCTCTCTGTCTGTCTGTCTGTCTGTCTGTCTGTCTCTCTCTCTCTCTGTCTCTCTCCCTCCCTCCCTCTCCTCTGTCTCTCTCTCTCTCTCTGTCTCTCTGTCTCTCTCTCTCTCTCTCCTGGACTACAAGTTATTTTTTCTCTCTCTTACAGATGATGAAACAGACGCTTACAGAGGGAAGGATGGACCACAGGCTACAGGGATAGTAAATGAAGGGGCTCTGGCCAGCCTGAGTGTGGCAAGCAGGGCTTTCCCCTCTTTCCCTCTGCCTTGCTGAAAACTATTAGGTTACATTCCTAAAGCTGCCACCAAGGTCTGTCCCTTTATCCCTTTATTTGGCCACTCCTCCCTCCTGAAGCTGACTACTAAGGTCCAGCTCTCAAAGCATTGAAATCCAGCAAGCAAAAGCCCCCTTCGGTTCTCCTAGTTAAGATGCCCAATTAAAATAAAACATCTCATCCTAACAGGGGGTTTCCCCGTTTACCTTTATAAACTGCCATTCACCTGTGTGCCATGTAGATCTCCTCTCTACCCAGAGGCAGCCCTTTGTCCTCTGCAATAAATACCCCTGCTCCCTTTCCCCGGTTCCCTTGTCCTCTGTCTCCTGTGTTTAGTTCTTATTCCCTGCCTTCTGTCCCTCTCGTGCAAATAAATATCATCTGTGCTGACACTCTTCCTTCAGTAAGTGATACACCTGGCCTGGGAACCCAACATTCCTTACAACCCCAGAATGCGAGCTCACTACAACCTTAGGGCTTTACATCAGCCCCCACCGTGCCACTGAATAGCTGAGGGGTTTGCAATTACGAGCCTTCCAGGGGAATCTGTCTTGGTTATTGGTATCACTTACCCCAACAACACACACAATGGTTCCCCCCACACACACTGTGGATAAACCACTGCTCCATGAATGAGCAGACAGAAAGAGCTTACACAAGCAAGGCAAAGTACTGACAACAGGAAATGCCCGCTGGAGTGTAACTGGCCACCCTGGGAGAGCATCGGTTTAGAGATGGGACAAAGACACCTCTCACCTTGCAGGATTTCAAACAGCCCTTCATGACTCAGCACTGGGAGGGAAGCCAGGCTCTGTGAAACAATCCCAGCCCCAATGGGAAGAGCCTGTTAGCCTGTTAACAAGGAAGGGACTTCACACCTACACCTGCACTGGATCCCAGCCCTGTGAAACCCCTACGCAGGAGGTCACGGAGGTCTCGGCTCCTCCTGCACTCCACAGCTGTGACCAGTTCGTTCCCTGGGCAGCCTTCCCTACCGGCAGCTTCAAAGAGAGCTCCCTTCCAGCAGCCATGGTCTCCCATTGCTTTGCTATCATAGATTGCTTCACAGGCCATCTAAGTGAGTGCTAGGATCTAATGTGACCCTATGATTGCTAACTGCCCCCAGCGGCCTCACCCTGAGGATGGGGGTCAAGCTATCACCCTGAGGATGGGGGTCAAGCTATCACCCTGAGGATGGGGGGGTCAAGCTACCCACACTCCACAGGTGGGTGTCTTAGTCACTGAGGATAAAATGTGGAATCCTGTGGATTTAACAATCCACAATGTGCTTGCTGCACAATGTCTGTGGGTAGGTAACTCTGGCTTGACACTGTGTGAGAGCCATTCCCCCGAGTGTGAATCATGCTCTTCAGTGACCAGACCTCTACAGCCCGAAAGCACGTCTCCAGCCTCAACCGGGAAAATGAACTCTGCCTTTGAAGGGAAAGCAGTTTGTGCTCTTTGTGATGGCAATTCTAAGTTCTTCTTTTGAAAACCGTTGCTGAAGTGGTAGTGTGTTCTTCCTCTCCTGTGCACAGAGACAATTAGGAACCAATAATGTTCAATGCCTGTGGCTGGGCAGGTTAGCTCATCATCATTGTATACAACGGGACCTCTGAGACCTGTAACAGTCTTTCCAGTAACGGCCATGTTGAAGGCATTTTTCATCCCTTCTCCCCTTTGAGTGTTCTTTCAGACATGGCATCAGCAGTAGAGATTAAAATATATCTACCAACGTCTGACGAGACATAGGGAGTAGACAGTGTCAACTCCAGCCCCTGCTTCTCTCTTCTCCAAGTGCAGTGGGCTTTCCAAAACTCCACGTGATTAAAAACGTCACTAAAGTATTCTTTGCATACTTGTAAGGGGAAAGCATGGTCAGGCATTGTGGTACATCCCCGGAACTCCAGGACTCCCAGAGCCGGGGTAGGAGGACAGCAATGTCAAGACTAGCCTGGATTCCAAAGCAGAGCTCAGAGGACTGTTTCTTCAAACCAAGGAACTGCAGGCTGCAAATACCTGAAACTTGGCTCAACCCCTCTTACTAGCCAATTCTTAAAAATCTACATAGACACCCTTTGTTGCTTTGATCAAAATTTCTGGATGATTTACAAAGAACGAGTGAAAATGACTTTGCCTCTCAGATTACAGAGTATATAACCCATACGAGTGAAAATTACTTTGCCTCTCAGATTACAGAGTATATAACCCATACGAGTGAAAATTACTTTGCCTCTCAGATTACAGAGTATATAACCCATCAAAAACAACTCAGCAAGGGCTGGAGAGGTGACTGTGACTAAGCGTGCTGGCTGCTCTTGCAGAATACTTTGGTCTCCTCCCACTTAAGCAGGCGGCTCACAGCTGCCTGTAACTCCAGCTCCAGGGGATCTGGCTCTCCCTTCTGGCCTCTGACGGTACTGCACTCATGTGCACATACCCACACAGAAACTCGTGCACATACCCACACAGAAACTCACGCACATACACTTACTTAAAAATAAAGAAAATCTTTTTAAAAAAGTTTGAGAGAAACAGAAGAGTCTAGGGTTTAAACATGTACGTGCTGAACTACTATTCTGAGAAGGAACCCAAAGCCATCCTTTTATCTTGGCGTTTTATTTTTTTCTCATATTTCTTTTCATTAATATATTTTATTTAATTGTGAGAGGTAATTTAATTAAATTATCTGTGGCCTTTTTGAATGACATATTCCCTTGAAGTTTTAATTAATCATGAGAGTTGATTTAATTTAATTAGCTGTTGCCCGTTTGAATGGTGTATTAGTCCCTTGAATTCATGCCCAGGTATTTATTGCCTGCCTGCACTGTTGAGTGACAGTCACAGTCTTCTTAAGGATTAAGATTCATCAACATTTTCAAAACCATCTTGGGTTTGCTCTGGCACCAAGAGACAGAAAGATCAACATCGTCTCATTACCCGGCAATAGACGACATGATTTCGCCTTCACGGGAAGGAATGCTGCCTGTGTGGAGTGAACCAGGCCCAGTGAACCTGCTTACCTGCCAACTCCCCTCCACTCCATGCGTCAGAGGGAGACCGCCATGTTGGTTCTGCTTGCTGGGTTTGGCACTAGACAAACAGGTACTGAAGTGCCTGGGCCTTTGATGTGTCCGCACACAAATGACTCAGAAGTTCCTTCCCCATCATCCTCTGGGACACACGGGAAACCTCAGGAGGAAGAAGGCTGACTTTGTGCTGTCCCCACTGGGCAAAAACCAGCGTGGTAGTTAGGCATAAATACCAGCGTGGTTAGACGTAAGTGCTGTCAGAATTCCTTCTCTCTCCCTCTCTAGAAAAGAAGTGAGTCACTAAGATGAAGGAGTTTTCCTCATTAAAAAAAAAAGAAAAAGAAAAAACTAGAACCTTCAACCATATTTAAAAAAAATATTCAGTCTGGTTCCCTCACAGTGTCGACCTATTTTTCTTGCCATGGGTGTCCTGGCCAGGACCAAGATGGTTTTCATATGTAAACATTCCTTTCTAAATCATTTTTGTTTTTTTTTTCTGAGGCAATGAGATAATAAAAATACCCCAGCTCTCCTCAGGGGTGGGTGTCAAAAATGAAACCATCATCGAATACTGTTAAAGGTTTACAGTTGTGGTAGTTTGAATGTAATTGGCCCTCATAATCTCACAGGGAGTGGCACTATTAGGAGGTGTGGCTTTGTTGGAAGGGATGTGGCCTTGGGGGAAGTGTGTCACTGTTGGGGTGGGCGTTGAGGTTTCCTATGCTGAGGATACTGGCCAGGTCTCAGTCAGCTTCCTGCCGCTTGCAAGACGTAGTACTCTTGGCTACAATCGGCCTGCACACTGCCATGCTCCCCTTCATGATGACGATGGACAGAGCCTCTAAAACTGTAAGTAAGTCCCTCAATTAAATGTTTTCTTTATTAAGAGTTGCCATGGTCATTGTGTCTTTTCACAGCAATGGAAACCCTAAGACAGAAGTTGTTATGATAAGCCTCTACTGTAAGCCCTTTAATGTTCAGATCGCATTAAAATAAGACCAGATTGACCTGTTCCAGGTCCTCTGCTGTCCTCTGCTTGTATACTATGGCTTTCCGTTAAGTGCTATTACCGACTCCTGATTCCTGTGCCTTCTCGAGGTCTCTTTCACTTTTCTGTTGCCTTACCCTGTCTGACTCCAATATGATTCTTTTTTGTTTTAGCTTATTATATTTTATTTTGCCATTTCTGTTGTTATCTCTTCTCTAATGAGAGACAGAAGGGAAGTGGATCTGGATGAGAGAGGAGATGGGGGAGAGCTGGGAGGGGCAGCGGGGGGGCAGCTGTATTCAGATTATACGGCATTAGAAAAGAGCCTATGTTCAATAAAAAGGGAAAATGGAAATAATTAAACATATGAAAATGAATGCAAAACTAAACATAAATAAACAAAGGGAAGCAACTGAGTATAAAGCGACAGGAGACCAGTGAGTGACTGGGGGCTTAGGTCAAAGGCTGCATTGTTGTGTCCCTGTGGAAAGAATAGAAGGAGATCTAATGCATGGCATGAGAACTGCAGTTAACAATACGGAACACTGGAAATGTTCTGAGAAAGTAGGATTTTAGTATTGACTTTACCACAAAAATTGGAAGGAGTAGAAGGAGAGACCAGAGATGATGAATATGCTGATTGAGTGACTGATGAATATGTAAACTTTGTAAGACGATGGACATACTAGATGCCAATATAGATACAACAAAATGTAAAAAAAAAAAAAAAAAAAAAAAAAAAAGCTAAGATGCTGCTGGGATGCCCTAATCCGCAGTTGTTAGACCCTTCCCTGGTGCTCCCACGGCCTTGAGTGGAGGACTGCAGCAGGCCAGCTGCTCTGAACAGCGAACAGCGTGCGGAAGCAGCGCCATGTCCACGGCTGTTTCAAGCCAAGGCTGTTTCAACATCTCGCACTTGGCTTTTGAACATCACAAAAACAGTCATTTCCACCCCGGCCAGAGGAAGAGTAGGTCCCCCCGGTGGCTGAGCAGAAGGCCTATGGTTGACACAAAATATAAAGGACCGTACCATGACTGGCCCACGGTCGTCATATTCCTTTTCTGGCTGTATAACCAGGCTGTCCGCTTTACTTTCAAGGCAGCATGGAGAAATCCCGCCCCCCCCCCCCGCCGCCCCTTCATGTCACACCTGTTGTTAAGTCAGT